CCCTCATGCATCAAAAAAACAAAAGCAAAAGAAACAAATGCAAAAAAAACAAAAGCAGAAGAAACAAAAAGACCGAAGCCAACAAGTAAAAACCCCAAAGATCCGAAAAATAAAGGTGATCCAAAAAGTTCGGGTGATAAAGGAGGAGGACCAGGAAATGATGCCGATCATCGTAATAGGCATGGTAGTCATCGTAATCATGGTGGCTCTGGAGCTGTAGGTGCCGTAGGTGCTTTGCCTGTTGATGATCAGAATCTTTCATATATTCAGGATGCTATGGATCTTTTGGATCTTGCTGACCAACTTACTGAGTATTATGAAGCGATTGCAACTATTTCTGAAAGTGAATATGCTGCTACTTTTGCCGGTCTGACTGCTGTTGTAGTCCTCGCTAATAGTTTTGGCGATGGTAATCCTTTTAGTGGTAATGGCGGTAATGGTGGTAATGGTAATGGAGGTAATGGAGGTAATGGAGGTAATGGAGGTAATGGTGGTAATGGTGGTAATGGTCATAAGTATCCTCCTAAAGATCAATCAGCTCAACCTCCTCAAGCTCAGCCACAATTCCGTCTAATATTACTTCCATAATTCAGCCTTATATTACTTCCACAATTCAGTCTAATATCACATCCACAATTACGTCTAATATTACATCCACAATTCAGTCTAATATCACTTCCACAATTACGTCTAATATTACATCCACAATTCCGTCTACTGCTACACAATCCATCACAATTCTGCCTACTACTACTCCTCAATTACCTCCAACTAATAACACCACAGAGATTGTAGTAGTAGATTTACGATCGTTTCCCGTTCAATTAATCAGACTTACATAGAAAAACGATCAAGAATCAATCTTTTACCAGCTTCATATTATTTAGTTCCCAGTTTTAAGACTCAACCGGTTATTTAATTAAAGTTGTTATAAGTGTTACAAAATTTTTCTATTTATTATTTTTTCTTATTTAATTCTTAATATGCTATTCTTATATAGAGTAGTTTAAGATAATACGGATGATGTAAAATTATTGGACATGTTGAAAACACTGGAGGTATAAATTTCTTCCCATATAAATAAAAAAAAAAGTTTTTAAAATCATTCTGAAATTGTCCGATTTTTTGTTTGGCAAATCGACTCCGTTCCAAACATTTACCGGGTGTTTATTGAATATTATTCGCTTTTTATATAATAACTAATCAATTCAAAATTCTCTATTTTTACATCCTGTACAATATCGTAATGAAAATAGTATAAAAATAAACCCTGTAAGGAAAATCGACTCCATTCTAAACAATTTTAAATCAAACCTTTTTTTAGAGGGCTGATTGCAAGATACTTATAGGACAAATAAGATTTTTATTTCATTTTTTTTCTAGTTATAAAATATTAATAAAGAATTGTTAAATTGACAATTAATAAATATCCATAACATTGATCGATAAATTAGACATCAAAAAAAAATTTTGAAATTAACATCCAAAAAGATTTAAATACTTATTGCTTGAAGAAATCAAACTTTCACTGTTACAATAATTTGGTTTAATGATGTAGATTATGGTTAACGTTAATGATAAAATGGATGATTATTTCTTTTTTAGTTGACGTGAAAACTTGTATTATCGTTATACAAGTCATTCTCATTATAGCGAAGCGACCTGTTTCATTAATAAAAATTTTTTAAAAATTCATTACATCGAGAGTTTTATTAGTAAATTCACTATATCGAGAGAATTTGATATAAACTGACTTTGACCTTAATTTCACTGTATCGAGATTTTAATTAGTTTTTATATCGAGAGTTCATTATAACGAGAGTGACTTGACATTTGCTAATTCGGATTGAGATACCAGTTTATCAAGGTCGTTTATGTTAGGTTAGGACTTTTATTATGGTTAAAAATTAGGAACGTAAATAGTAAAATTACTTAGGGAAACTTTTTGTTTATGCGCGAAGAG